AAATTGGTAGTTCGAAGCAAACGATTAAGCAAAGGGGAAGGATCGAAGGATCATTTGTTCAAGGTCATATTGGGAGAGAAACATGTGATTTTTATTCTTATTACTTTGGTCATGATGTGCCATGTAGGAGAAACAGGCCCAATCGCAATGATGAAGGCGATATTGATCCTTTATTTCCACCAATATCAATTTTTAATCAAAATGGTCGAGGATCTAAAAAGCGTAGAAAGCGAGGCTTCACTGATATGGAAATGCAATCAGCTGTGACACATATTTTGCTTAATTGTCCAGAGATTCAATCATATGTTATTAAATTACATACTAATAAGTGATCATTAACTAACTAAATACTTGAATGTAAAATGATCAGCTTGTTCGTAAACACATGGGGTAATGAAGCCATCTATACAGAATTTTCCAAATGGCTGAGGAACTATGTAAGTGTGCAATCACTAAGTATTTAATAATATATTCTAGTTATACTAAATTATATTACTTGAAATAACAATCGCGTAGGTTTATGATGAATACTCAAGTGTCCAACATTTGCAATTAGTGAAAGAAGTAGCCCTTGGACCTCAATCTGAAGTACTGGCAATGAATAAGTATTGTGTCAATGGTTTTAAGTTTCAAATTGAAGAGGTATCTAGGAACAAGAAAACAAATAATAGCGGTGCCTATATACAAGGTGATGTTGATGGTACTGGTCAAACTATTGAATATTATGGTGTCATTCAAGAGATTATTGAAGTGAGGTATTCAGGTTGGCCTAATAAGAAGATTGTATTGTTTCGGTGTGAGTGGTTTGACCCATCACATAGAGGCACAAAGGTGGACCATCAACATAATATAATTGAAGTTAAGCACACCAGGAAATACAGAAGTTATGATCCTTTTATTATTGCACAACATGCTAAACAAGTGTATTACGCTTCATATCCATTGCGTAGAGACAAAGCTGATTGGTGGGTTGTTATAAAAAGTAAGCCTGTGGGAAGAATTGAAATTGACAATGTCTTAGATGTGGCGTATCAAAATGATGTTGCAATTGTTCAACAACAAGTTGATGTTGAATTGGAAACCACATTACAACATCCTCAACACATATTAGAAGAAGTATCTGATGATGAGATATTGAATGTTGAGGAAGAAATATCCGAGAATGAGGAAAATGAATTATTTGATGATGAAGAATGGGACGATAATGAAAATGAAACAACTGAGGAGGAAGAATGGGAGAATGATGGAATTGAAACAAGCGAGGAGGAATAGTGTAGAATGAAAGCTAGCTAGTACATATGTAAGTGTATTTTACTAATTTTATTTAATTTATGATTTTTATATATATTATACATGTAAATTTGCATACAGATGTCATCATGCGGTGACGGTGATAGATATCGCGAGCATCTTGGAGTTGGCCAGACTAAACAGGCTAAAAAGAAGAAGTCTAGGAGACCGATAGATCCTGAGGATATTGCAAGATCTATTTCTTCTGCGCCAGAGCGCATCAGCCATAATACTCATTTATTTGCTGTTCCGTTTGGTACGGCGGATCCTCGGCAATATTATCCTAATTATCGTAGACCAGTCGGTGCTTCATCTACTTCACAGGCATTGCCTTCACGACGCTACGAGGACCTACCTTTACAGGCTCTTCGTCGAGCACGACCCTTATCGGCAGGTACTCCATCTCCCACAGGTACATCTCCTCAGTTATCTGCCATGAGACTTGAAGATTCTAGTAGCGAGCATTCAGATGCTATGGCCGGTACGCCTCCATTGACTCATCGTTTTGTGCATCCTGATGTATCACCCTCGTCTACAGCTGCACCTAGTGCTACACCACATGATACGATGTCTGCTCTAGCTCCTGGCCAGAAGGACAGACTTGGTAGAGTCATGATTGAGCTGGATGGATCATCGTAAGTTTGTTTTGTTATCTATTTGTTACTTTATTTTATTTATTTCTTATACTTTAATATATTATTCATGAACTAATATATTTATTATGTGTTTTGCAGGTGGCATCCTGCAAAGGATGCTGCCCAGGCTTTAAAAGAGTGTGTTAGAAAACTCTATACACAAGCTTATCACTCTTGGAGCGAGATTCCAAACAGTATACGCCAGGCGATGTTTAACAACTTTAAGGTATATATTTTTTAGTTAAGTTTAGTATACTTTACTTTTTTTTACTATCGATTTAATTAACGTTATTCAATTTTTTTTCAGACTATGTGTACTTGGGAGTCGAGGTACAATTTGGTCATTGGGACCACATTTGAGAGGAAGGCATCCACCAGACTGTCTAACTGGCTAAAGAGTGTTCGGGATAGTGGAATTCGTCTCGGTTGGATGTTGCCTCATGTTTTTGCTGAATTGGGTCAGTATTGGAAAACAGACAAGTTTAAGGCAATATCAGATCAAGCCAAAATGGCTAGAGGCAGTCTTAAAGGTGGCTCGTTGCACACCGGAGGTGCAAAGACGGTTGGAACAATTGCACGAGAGATGGTAAGTTCTAATTCAAACTTTTAAATAAATAATTAGTTAATACATATATATCGTTATAAATTTCAGTTTTTATTTATAGGAAAAATAATTGGGACGCACTCCCATTGAACCAGAGGTTTTCAAAAAGACTCATGTCAGGAAGAAAGAAAATGAGTCAGATCCGGATGTGTGGGTGGAGGAAAGGGCCGAACGAACTTTTGTAAGTTATTTAATATGAAAAATATAATCAATACTGAATATATTTATGATATGTATATATTGATGTCAATATTTATATTTAATATGCAAAATGACTTTAATAAGTACGTTGCTGAGAATCTAGATAGTTCGGTTCAATTGACACCTGAACTGTCCACTCAGATTTGGAAAGAAAAAGTGATAGGGGGGACACACAAGGGTAGATGCTATGGTCTAGGCTCTCGCAACGATATTAGACGCCTTCAGTCAGGCTTAGAAGGTATTTGATCGTCACGTCAAGCTGAGGCACTTGACGGTGTTCAGATTGCTGCTATGTCGGATCAAATAACTAAACTTACAGCGGCACTAGCAGAGTCGGAGCGGAAAAGAGTAGCTGAACAACAAAGCATGAGTGAGACTGTTCAGCAAATCAAAGAACAAGTGATGAACCTCGCTCGTCGACCTACTACTTCGGCTCCCGATGACACCGACGACGAGAGTGATGAGGATGATTATGTAGATCTCACTCCCTAGTTTAGATCCTGGATATTTATGAACTTTTTGAAATTTTAAAACGAATTTTAAAAGACTTTATAAGTCTTTAATTTAGGATTTAAATACTTTTGAATGTTATTTTAAGTTTGTGATTTTATGTTTTGTTTAGACTATTTATAATTGTGTGTGTTTGATTGGGCTGAATAGTGTAGAATTAAATTGAATTGAATTTGCAGGTGGGCAGCAGAAGCTGAGTACTGCTATTGGCAAAAATATTGCAGAAAAAGCGACGGACAGCGTGGTTTAGTCCGTCGCTTTTTTGAGTTTAATTTTTTTTAAAACCCAGAAAAGCGACGGACAGCGTGGTTTTTTCCGTCGCTTTTTTAGATTTTTTTAAAAAAAATCCATAAAAGCGACGGACAGCGTGGATTTTTCCGTCGCTTTTTTGGGTTTTTAAAAATAGAATTTCCAGAAAAGCGACGGACAGTGTCCTTTTATCCGTCGCTTTTCTGGGATTTTCAAAAAATAAATTTCCAGAAAAGCGACGGACTGCGTCGCCCTGTAGAAATAAAAAAAACAAAAATTAAAATAAAGCGACGGACTCCGTCGCTTTTTTAAAAAGATTCAAAAAAAAAAAATAGTCGAAAAGCGACTCAGTCCGTCGCTAAAAGAGACGCAGTTCGTCGCTTTTTTAGCGACGCAGTCCGTCGCTTTTTGAAAAACAACGCAGTCCGTCGCTTTTTAGCGACGCAGTCCATCGCTTTTTAGCGACGCAGTCCGTCGCTTTTTGAAAAGCGATGAGCTAAAAAGCGACGGAAGTGACTGCATCGCTTTTCCGTCAATTTTGACCAAAAAAGCGACGCAGTCCGTCGCTTTTAGCCGTCTTTTTTTGACATTTTTTTAGTAGTGACTCATCATTTCCTTTAAAGTTCGGTTTTTCCTTTCCGCAATTCCATTAGATTGAGGAGATTAAGGTGCAGTAGTTTGATGGATGATTTCATTTTCCAAACATATTTCTGCAAATTGAGATTCATATTCTCCACCTCTATCACTTCTGATCATCTTGATCTTTCTATCCAACTGATTTTCAATTTCAGTTTTATATTGCCTAAATGCATTTATTGCTTCATCCTTACCATTTAGCAAATAGACATAACAATATCTAGTGCAATCGTCAATAAAAGTTATGAAATACTTTTTCCCATCACGTGTTGGTGTTGACTTCATATCACAAATGTCCGTGTGAATCAGTTCTAAGGGATATGAATTCCTTTCAACAGACTTATAAGGATGCTTAGCATACTTAGATTCAACGCACACTTGATATTTTGATTTATTGCACTCAAATTTAGGCAAAACATTTAAGTTAATCAGTTTTCGCAAGGTTTTGTTATTAACGTGTCCCAAACGTTCATGCCATAAACATTTAGACTCAAGCAAGTAAGAAGAAGCAGAATCTTTATTCATATCAACTGCAATTACATTGAGTTTAAAGAGACCCTCAGTGAGGTAACCTTTTCCTACATACATTTCATTCTTACTCACTACAACTTTATCAGAAACAAATACACATTTAAATCCGTTCTTAGTCAGAACTGGTATAGAAACTAAGTTCTTTCCAATTCTGAAACATACGAGACCCTATTCAAAGTCACCACCTTGCCCATTGTCATCTTTAAGAGGGCTTTGCCAGTTCCTTCCACCTTTGTAACATCAGAGTTTGACATAAACAAGTTCTCATCTGTAGGTGCTGGAGTATATGATGAAAATAATTCTTTGTTGGCACAAACATGACATGAGGCACTAGAATCTATGCATCACTCTCTTGGATTTCCAACCAAGTTGCATTCTGAAAGCATTGCACAAAAATCGTCCATCTCTCCTTTGGATTCAGCCAAATTTTCTTGATCCTTCTTCTTATCCTTCTTGGGACCCTGACATTCAGTAGCCTTATGACCACGTTTGCCACAATTAAAGCAGCTTCCATTGAACTTCTTTTTAGGAGGATTGGTTTTTGGACCAGATACTTTCTTTCTTTTCTTTGATTTTGTGAGATCTTCTTCAACAATGTTTACTCCAGATATTGCTGAATTACCACGTGACCTCTTTTCTGCGGCCTTGTTATCCACTTCGATTCTCAGCCTTACCATGAAATCTTCAACAGTCATCTCCTTGCATTTATGTTTCAAGTAGTTTTTGAAGTCCTTCCACAATGGAGGTAACTTCTCAATAATGGCAGCCACTTGAAAAACATCATTCACAACCAATCCTATATTAAAGATTATGTGAGTATTAAGAATAGACTTAATATTTCCAACATAGGTATTAAATAAATTTATACCTTCAGCAAAGAGATCATGAATTATGACCTGCAATTCTTGAACTTGGGTGATGACGGTCTTACTTTCTATCATCTTATAGTCCAAAAACTTTGCCACTATGAACTTCTTCATTCCGGCATCCTCTGTTTTGTACTTCTTTTCTAAAGAATCCCAGAGTTCTTTTGAAGTTTTGACATTACTGTACACATTGTATAGATCATCCTGCAGGCCACTCAAAATATAATTTTTACACAGAAAATCAGAATGTGTTCATGCTTCTGTTACCAAGAATCGTTCTTCAGGCGGAGTTTCATCCGACATAACAGGAACGTTCTCATTAATGAACCTCTGCAGACTAAATGTATTCAGATAGAAGAACATTTTTTGCTGTCATCTCTTGAAGTCGACTCCAGAAAACTTTGCAGGTTTCTCAGCCGTGCTAGGGCAACAGTTGAACGATTGTGTGCAACCGATGATGTTGCAACACTTATTGTTCCAGCATTTACTTGACTTGAATTAGTCAATTTTCTGTCACAAATGACAGACAATTTTAGTATGTGAAATACTAACAGTAAAGAATAAATCCTTACACAGACTGTTTCTGATTTAAAGATAGAGTTTTTATGTTCTTTTAATCGTTATTCGAATGAATTTTAAAAATTCAAACATAGTAGAAAACTATAAAGGTTTTAATCTTCAGAAACCTCAAATACAAAAACTATAAAATTTCTTAAGATTGTTATCTCCTGTATTCAGGTTAGTCACAAATACAGAAACAGAAAAAGATGAAATAGACAGAATGATTTTTAATCCGAGTCCACATAAACCACTGTGTTTCCTTAAGAAATTTAATCCCCTCACTGTACCCGAGGTTGTAGATTAATTCCTCCCAAGATAAAACAGATTAACTTGTTAAAAAAGTAGCGGTACCTCAAACTTCAATAACTTAAGCGAACGCAAGAACAACAACAAGAGCACACACAGACTCAGTCGATCGACAATTTTTTTATGTAAGAAAATGTATGCAGTGAGGAAACCATTTCAGTGTTTGAAAAATGAAAACAACCTCTTATTTATACCCATTAGCAGCAAGGAACGCGTCTGTTCAGACAAATCTGTTCAGACAAGTCTGTTCAGACCCGTTTTTCCAGAACGTTGTGTCTTTTGGGAAAAGTAACGACTTTTCGGAAGGAACAAATCCTTTCAAATTTTACCGTTACGCGCGAATTTCAAATAATTCATTGTGAAATTAATTTCGTTATTTAACTAACATTCTGAATTAATTTATAAGAGAAAAGAAATGAATTAAAACGATTGATTAAATAAATTTTGTCCAAAAAAAATATTATCAATCACATCCAAATCCAAATCCGAAGCCGAAACCGAAGCCGAGCGAGCGACGACGACGGCGCGAGGGGCACCTTCTTCTTAACCCTTTAAGAACTAAATGAAGTGTTTCCTAATATAAGGACAACAATTTCCTTTCTTCTACGAATATAGTAAAAATGACTTTTCATTTGGACTTTGCAATGACTTTTCATTTTACCTCCAAAATTGGTTCCCCCCACTTTCATTGGTTCTTCCACTTTCCATTTTCTCTTTTTATTTCTCATTCGCACCTTCTTGCTAAACCCAACACTAACGAATGTTAATTAAAACTAATCCATCCTTAGAGGTCCCTTGGCGTCACCGGAAGATCTGTAATACCCTAGAATATGATTCTAATACGTAATTATATTTATAAGACGAAATTAGATCGAAGATGAGAATTTTATTGATATAATGAATAGGAACACATAGACATTACAAGATTACGAATGGTACTTTGCTTAGTGATACTACTCAAAACTTAAGAAAGGATGGCTAGTGTATGGCAGTCATTACTAGAAGTGGTAAAGTACTATCAGAACGAGTTTGTGAGTAATGAGTAGGGAGAAGATGTTAAATTTGAATTAAGATTATGGCAGAAAATGAGGATGAATATGAGATTTCAGTTGATTCTAAAAAGGAAAAAAAATTGATGTTTCACCAGGTGAGGCGGAGGAGCTATGGGAACAAATGGACAAGAAATAGAGGCTATGAGGACTTCAACTCCAATTTTTAGACCTCCACCCGCATATATTCTCCCACAAATATTTTTTGAAGAAAGTGGAGGACAGGAAGTTTCTTAAGTTCATCTCTATGTTGAAACAACTATTAGTGAATATTCCACTAACTAAGACCCTTGAGAAGATGTCGAGTTATGCCAAGTTCTTTATGAAGAAGATAAAACTTTCAATTTTGATCTAATAGATAATCTGCATCACTGTAGTGCTATTGCTATTAAGTCATTAGTTTAGAAGAAAGAAAACTCCAGTGTATTCACTATTCCATGCATCATTGGAGCATTCAACTTTAATTTTTCTAAGGACTAAGGCGCTATGTCACTTTGGTGCTGGCATCAATATGATGTCACTTCTATTTATAAACAGTTGGATTTTGAAGCCCACAAACCAAAGATTTTACGACTATTGATGTCTGACTGCTTAGTCAAAAAGACCCATGGGTATTCATTGATAAGAGGGAAAATTTTCATCTTTCCAATTGATTTTAAATTCTTGATTGTGAGATGGATTTTGATGTTCGCTGTCACAACCAAAAAATGAATATATGATGTGTTGTGAATGGTTTGAAAGGATTGTTGAATCATTGTGTTGTTGTGAATTGTGAATTGTGCATTATTATGAAAATGGTCATCTTCTCATTATTTGTGTGAACGTGCCATTTGCATTGTTCTGAGACATGATTGTGACAAGTGTTATGTGAATTGAGAAAGAGTAAGAAATTAAAGAGGATGTACCATTTCAAGGGACGTATCGCACGCCGTGACGGATACTATATTTCGAGTTACATATCACACTCCGCGATGGATACTATTATTGAGGGACATGTCGCGTGCCGTGACGGATGCATGGATAGATATGTTCCCATGGGTCCCGGACTGAGAGACATCGGGTGTGTATCATTAGGTCAGACATGCATCACTATACTTGACATGCATTGTACATTTTTATCAATGATGAACCTGATCTTGTGTGTTGTTGATCTTGTGAGTGCCTTTGTGTGGAAATTGTGATTGATGAGTATTGAGTTTGTTGTTGAGGATATGTAATTTGTTAGAGTGTTGTTGTTGAGCTGTGTGTTATGTAAACTATGAACTGTTAGGTTGGATTGGTTTTATGCAGGTTGTAGTTATGGAGGTTTGGATGGGGTGTAAGGAGTACCCGTATTATGTTCCCTTAGCTTGTGTTTAGAAGTTTACTTGTTGAGTACCATGTGGTTTGATATTAACCCCTTGCTTCTACAAATTTTTGTAGGTTACGAGCCCGGATCTTCGTGATACCTTCTATTCTCTTCGTTTCTAAGGCTTTCTGTGGAGATTTGTGAGGTAGTTGTTTGTCATCTCAGCGGACCTTCTTACTCATGTTTATGATTTTGTATTTACTTGAAAGATAGCGTCATTTGAGACTTGGGTATATTATTTCAATTCTAGTATTTACATTAGAAGCTTGTGCACGTGACAACCAGGTTTTGGGGATTGAATTAAGTTGACTTGTTATTCGGATTAGTAATTGTTATTGAACTTTTATTTTTATTTTATTTCCGCACTTTATCGAAATGGTTGGATTTTAGGCTGACTTGTCTTGGCAGGATAAGACGAGTGCCATCACATCCATTTTTAGGTCATGACATTCGCATAATTTAGGGAAGACAATTTTTGGTAACAAGCATAGCATTTGTAGATATGGAAAGCAGCACGCTGTAGTTTCAACTGAATGATGAATGGAACTATGGCGAAGTGTGTTTAGCCACAGTGTGTACCATATAGCCATGACCCTTTGTGTGGCTAAATTCCCTTTTTTTTTTATAGTAAGGGTGTGTTTGGTATGAAGGAAAACATTTTCCGGAAAATGTTTTACAATTTTCTCATGTTTGGTTGGGTTAAATGTTTTGGAAAATGTTCTAAATCAACTCATTTTCCTCAAATTTAAGGAAAATGACTTCCCTTCAAAACTTAAGGAAAACATTTTCCAAAACTCTCTTCCAATTTCAAACTACAATTATTTTTTTGTTGAAAAAATCAATTTATTTTGTCCCTACCCTCAAATCAGCCCCCAACCAACTCCCCCCCAAAAAAATAAAAATTAAAGCTTATTTTTAAATTCAATTTTTTTTACCCACCCTCACCCCTACCCCTACTCCCACCCCCTCCCAAAAAAATATTAAAAATTATTTTTAAAAGATATTTCTAATTTCAATTTTTTATTTTTTACCCCCACCCACTACCCTAGCCACAGTGTGTACCATATAGCCATGACCCTTTGTGTGGCTAAATTCCCTTTTTTTTTTTATAGTAAGGGTGTGTTTGGTATGAAGGAAAACATTTTTCGGAAAATGTTTTCCAATTTTCTCATGTTTGGTTGGGTTAAATGTTTTGGAAAATGTTCCAAATCAACTCATTTTCCTCAAATTTAAGGAAAATGACTTCCCTTCAAAACTTAAGGAAAACATTTTCCAAAACTCTTCCAATTTCAAACTACAATTACTTTTTTGTTGAAAAAATCAATTTATTTTGTCCCTACCCTCAAATCAGCCCCCAACCAACTCCCCCCCAAAAAAATAAAAATTAAAGCTTATTTTTAAATTCAATTTTTTTTACCCACCCTCACCCCTACCCCTACTCCCACCCCCTCCCAAAAAAATATTAAAAATTATTTTTAAAAGATATTTCTAATTTCAATTTTTTATTTTTTACCCCCACCCACTACCCTCGCCCCCCCTATCAATTTTTTTTATTGTTTTTTAAAAATATTTTCAACTTCAATTTTTTATTTTTCATTCCGATCCTCGATCACCCACGCCCCCCTCCCCGGCCTACCCCCCACCCCCCCCAAAAAAAAAAAAATTGAGTTTGTTTTTAAAAAATATTTTCAACTTCAAAATTTTATTTTTTCACCCCTACACTTGATCCCCTCCCAACCCACCCACCCCTTACTCGCCACCCCTACCCCCAAAAAAATAATTTAAGTTTATTTTTAAAAAATATTTTCAATTTCAAAATTTCATTTTTTCATCCTACCTTGACCCCCCTCACGCACCTCCTACCCAGCCCCCCCCCCCCCCCCCCCCCCCCCCCCCCCCCCCCAAAAAAAAATAAAAAAATAAAATTAAGTTTGCTTTTAAAAAATATTTTCAATTTCAAAATTTCATTTTTTCACCCCTACCCTCGACCCCCCCACCCCCTACCAGCCCCCCCCCCCCCCCCCACCACCACCACCCAAAAAATAATTTTAAGTTTGTTTTTCAAAAATATTTTCAATGTCAAAATTTCATTTTTTTCA